CCAACACATAGACTGAGAGGCAGAGAAACTCTACTAAATGTTAAAACTACAGTTTTTGTTTTGTTTTTAGATACATATAGAATCATTGAAATTTTAATTTGTGAGTATTAACACACGTAAACTGTGTTTTTAGTTCAAAATTCAATCAAATATTCACAACAAACAATCTTAATAAATATTTACAAAAAACATTCAATCAAATATTCACAACAAACATTCAAAACTCACATTCAGGACAAACGTACACTATAAATATTCCTAACAAAGACATACTTTGATTCAAATTTTGTTTATTGTCATTTTGAGAAACTATTCAAACAGCTACTAAACAAAGACTACACACCATGTAAGTTGTCAGGCGGGTGGGTTGACGTGTGACGACACACGCCCAGTTGACACGAGCAATACGCTGTGGGCGGGGCTTGAACCTATGATTGACATGTACGATATGTTGTGGGCGGGGCTTAACTCTCTGGCTGACATGTACAATGCGTTTAGGGTGGGACTTAAACCCTTTAAATGACATGTACGATATGTTGTGGGCGGGGCTTAACAACCTGACTGACATGTATAATGCGTTTAGGGTGGGACTTAAACCCTTTAAATAACATGTACGATAAGTTGTGGGCGGGGCTTGAACTTCTCCAGTGTTTCTTCCAGACTATTTTCTCCGAAGGGTCGGGGCGGGGGGGGGGGGGTACTTGGCTTGGAATTTCTCGCGTGGGGGGGGGGGGCACTGTTAAAAGTATATATTTTCTATAAATTATTTTATATACATTCCATTTCGTTCCAGGGGCTCAGACCACCCCCTCCTCCGAAGAGATGCCTGGAAGAAACACTGACCATAACATAAAGCCTCCCTGTACAGTCACGATGACGTCACGACATGACACTATATACACCTTAGCCATGTGTTGTTAACTGACATACCGGCATGAACTATGAACTGCCAAATGCGTCACGGGAAGGGGGAGGGGCCGGAGTAGGCATAGCAGATAAACTGTTGACAGGATTTAAAAGTTTTGATAGATTTATATGAAATAGTAGCCGAAAAAAAATTGGTTATCACAATTTATTGGCTTTCCTTAGGTTTAGCCTACGTATATATAAATAAATGGAAAAAAAATATACGCCTAATATATATATATATATATATATATATATATATATATATATATATATATATATATATATATATATATATATATATATATATATATATCAACATTATATATAGTCTCAATCTGTCTGTTGTGATGTATCCCGACTGAGCTAAAAATAGAAAGGCCCAGCGGCGAACAATAGCTTTACGACATCTATGGCTGGGGTATGACGCACGATTGTAGGGGGAAAAAGTCACAGCAAAAGAACAAACATAAAAAAGGCACCGGGAAAAAGTCACATGAAAAAATAGACATGAAAAAAATCAGAGGGAAAAAAAGTCACAAATGTGTATTAACATGGAATTTGCTAATAGGCCAACTTTTATGCATTAAAAATATTCAGAAAATGCAAATTAATTTACGATTAATTAAAATTAAATGAAGATTTTGTAGATATATGTGCCTAGGTTGTGTACGTATTGTAATATTTATAACACATGTGAAAATATTTAGTATGAAGTATGTAGGTTTTAATTCTTGTAAACATATCATATTTAATATAATTTAATAGAACGTTCGAACCTTTTAGTTTTTATCGTGTTTTTTTTTAAATACTAACTTCAAAAAGCGTGAAATGGCGTAAGGACGTAGTTAATGTGACGGACTGCCCTCAACCGATGGCAGCCATAGTTCAACCACCTTTACTGCCCATATTTATCACGCTCGTTACATAGGATTAAAACATAAAGCCGACCCAGTACAAATGCTGTCATTGACGCAAAACGTAAACAAATATGGCCGGCTAAGGCCGACTAAGGAGAAGCCGACCAAGAAGAGGCTACGGCCAAACACATTTGCTAAACATAATAATGTGTCTACATTTCTTTTATGATTATTTTTTCTGCTGCGTAAATAACTAAATACTTAACAAAATTTGAGGTTGCTGTGTAAACTATTTTTACTTATTATTGTTATTAACCATAATGCTCTTAAGTTTATAAATATTCTACCACAATTACACCACCCACATTAATACAAACACCCACAATTTTACAATTCTCAACAATTAAATCAAAATATTTCTTAGAAAATTTTTGTGACTTTATTTCTGTGACTTTTTATCCGATAGAAATTTTGTATTGGTTTTTTTTTTCTGTGACTTTACTTCTGTGACTTTTTTTTTCCGATTACATTTTTCCTTAGTGACCTTTTTCTGTGCATTTTTTTTAACCTGTGACTTTTTTCTTGTGACTTTTTTCTGTGACTTTTCCGTTGACAATGACTCACACAGAGACATGTATCTGTCATATTAAATGTACACATTACTTTACAAAGGATCCCACCAATTGTTTATATTTACAATATAACTTCACACATGGATACAGTAACATAGATATTGCTGTTTTCAAACAATTCAAAAATCTCTTGTTATGTCTTGCGCTGTTTATAAAAATGGCTGTCCAATCATTTCGTCAACATAATACCGTAGTTACACATTTTAAAATGTACACATTCGGTGGAGGGCGAACAAATAAGACTTTGATGTATGAAATCTCCATGTTTACATTAGTTTGTCAGTAGTGAAACACCTTATGTGTAATTTTATGTTGACATAAAGGACATATATACAACACATAGTTCAAAGTACGACAACTAAAAGTTACGCTGCTTGATTCGCATGTTTATGTACAAAAACCATAAAAACCTGGATTATTTCCCTTGGAACACAAAGTATCATTGGATGGTTAGATGGTGATTTAACCAGGTTTTATTACAGACATTAGTAGCGAGATGTATAAGGCAGAACATGACGGGTGAGGTTTGGTTTTCAAACGGTTGCTGGGTCATACACAGGTGTTAGTCGTCTGATAGGGGTGTATCAATTAGGGAGGGGGTGTATATCAGAGGTGGGAGGGGGTGTATATCAGGGGTGGGAGGGGGTGTACATCAGAGATGGGAGGGGGTGTACATCAGAGGTGGGAGGGGGTGTACATCAGAGGTGGGAGGCGGATTTACACCAGGGGTGGGATGAGGTGTACATCAGAGGTGGGAGGGGGTGTATATCAGAGGTGGGAGGGGGTGTTCATCGGGGGTGGGAGGTCGTGTACGGCAGAGGTGGGAGGGGGATTTATACCAGGGGTGGGAGGGGAAGTGTAATATATGGGTGGGAAGTCATATACGGCAGAGGTAGGAGGTGTTATACGACAGGGGGGGAGGTGGTGTATACTAGGGGGTGGGAGGGGATGTAACATCAGGGGTGGGAGGTTTGAGAATTACTTCTTTAAGAACAAGAAAAATTGTTTGGATCTAATAAAGGCAAAAACTATTGACAGATCAGTTTGGACAAGATTCAGTACATTGGTGAAATCAATTAAAGTTCTAAGTAATCCCACATGTAATTAATGAAGATTTATGCAGGAACATTCCAAGATGACAAGAAAGATTTTACCGGCACAAACTTAAGTCTGCGTGATACAAGGCAGGCCAAATAGTTTTCTAAGGACGGTAACTCTGATTTACTCCAGTTATTTAGCATCCTGGGTCAAGATTGAGCAACAGCCAGACGCGGCGGGCACCGAGTTGGTCTTGGAGACCAGAATCTGGACTAAATCTTGACAGAACATTGACACAATATTGACACAATTTTAAAAAAATAATGACAAAGTCTTGACAAAGTATCAACATAAGTGTCACAAATCAGGTAGGATCAAACACCGCGCGTCAATAAAATCCTCCTGTCTTTAGTTTTCAACTCTACGAAACAAAGACATGGGTTGAAAGTCAGCACATATTGTCTGGAGTGCAGATTGTAAGATGTTCTGCTGTTACTAGGTTGGCAGTGGGCACTGGTGGTTCACATGTGGTTAGGTGGTTGGGTGGTTGGGTGACTAGGTGGTTAGGTGGTTGGGTGGTTGGGTGATTAGGTGGTTAGGTGGTTGGGTGGTAAGGTGGTTAGGTGGTTGGGTGATTAGGTGGTTAGGTGGTTGGGTGGTAAGGTGGTTGGGTGGTTAGGTGATTAGGTGGTTAGGTGGTTGGGTGGTTAGGTGGTTGGGTGGATGTAGCAGTGGTGTGGTTTGGTGTGTGGAGGTAGTATTGGGTTTGAAGTGTGGATGTGGTGGTGGTGTGGATGTGGTGTGAATATGGTAGTGGTGTGGTAAGGGGTGTTGATATAAAGTTGGGGTGTGGATGTTGTAGGGGTGTAAAGTTTACTGGATGATGCAGCACTATATTTTAAAATTTATATTCAAATATTTGTTTGTATGTGTGTGTGTTCGTGTGTCTGTCTGTGAACTTATCCTCTCCACTGTCTGTCATATTTTAACCTGATCACGTTAATCCTTTAACCAGTGACAATCCTTTAATCTTTCACAATCTCAATAATCATTTAATCCTGAACAATCGCAAACAATCCTTTAATCCGTGACACCATTTGAAATCTTTCCATCAGTTAATCCGATCTTTAATCAGTTTTTTTTTTGTCCGGGCTAGTCGAAACACCACGTGATCTGAGGGCCGTGCCTGTCACGTGATCAGAGGGCCGTGCTTGTCACGTGATCAGAGTGCCGTGCTTGTCACGTGATCAGAGGGCCGTGCTTGTCACGTGATCAGAGGACCGTGCTTGTCACGTGATCAGAGGGCCGTGATTGTCACGTGATCAGAGGGCCGTGCTTGTCACGTGATCTGACGCCTGCCTCCCCACAAAGGGCGATTACTCCACTCATCACAACATGTCATCACAACATGTCATCACAACATGTCATCACAACATGTCATCACAACATGTCATCACAACATGTCATCACAACATGTCATCACAACATGTCATCACAACGTTGTTTACAACTGCTATACAACCTGGGTCACACAACCTCCATGTTGTCCACACCACCACAACCACAACCACCACCACAACCATCGCCACCACCAAGTTGACGACAGTGACGTTACCAAATGTTTTTCTCGAAGATTCCGTTCGAATGACAAGTTTGCGAATAGTTTCCACACTCCATTAGGTAAATAGACATCTGCTATTTTTTAAGATAGTCAGATAGGTCATTTTGTTGGATATCTGAAAGTTTGATATCTGACAGTTTGTTGGATATCTGACAATGGCCAATCGAGTCACCACAACAATGTCCAGCTCACTCAGCTAAAGTACAGTACCCGGCATGAATTGGGCGGTTTAAAGTTGATGAAGTCGAGGCTGTCACGTCACTCACCGTTGAGGCGTGTCTCGATGGTGCTGCCGCTCCTCCTGGGGTAGCTGGGTCGGGAGTGGTAGGACGGGGAGCCGCCCCGACACCCACACAGCGACTCCCTGAAAGCCTTCCGGAATCCGTCGCCCATGATGGTGTAGACGAAGGGGTTGATGCAGCTGCTGGTATAGGAGAGGGTGTGGGCGAAGATCTTGAGGTCGTAGAGCGGCTGGCTCTGGGGGAAGTTGGGGATGAGGGCGTAGCACAGGTTGAAGAGGTGGATGGGCAGCCAAGTGATGGCGAACAGGATCACCACCACGGCCACCATCTTCGCCACTTTCTTTCGACGTCTGGCGATCGTCGTGCCGACTCCAATCACTGACTCCGTGGAGTCAGAGTCATGCTGGTCAAACAAAACAAAAACAAGTTAGACAACTCGCTCGGCTGTAGCAAGCAACAATCGTGTAATTAATTAAATAAAGATATTAAAACCACGTCTTTTAATTGTTGGGTTTAAATGCATAGTTTATAACCTTTATAAAAGATAGAACTATTTTATGTAAAATATTTTTTTTAAGAAATCTAGAAATAAACTATCCAAATTCTGATTTTTTTTTTTACATCTGCTTTTCAAACAAGTAAAATAAAGATGTTGCAACCGTAGACATAGAACTTACGGCCATCTAAGATGTTACACCAGGTGATCTAGAACTTACAGCCATCTAAGATGATACATAAAATGTTCTAGAACTTACCATCTAAGATGTTACACAAAGTGTTCTAGAACTTACCATCTAAGATGTTGTACCAGGTGATCTAGAACTTACAGCCATCTAAGATGATACATAAAATGTTCTAGAACTTACCATCTAAGATGTTACACAAAGTGTTCTAGAACTTACCATCTAAGATGTTGTACCAGGTGTTCTAGAACTTACCATCTAAGATGATACATAAAGTGTTCTAGAACTTACCATCTAAGATGATACATAAAGTGTTCTAGAACTTACCATCTAAGATGTTGTACCAGGTGTTCTAGAACTTACCATCTAAGATGTTACACCAGGTGTTCTAGAACTTACCATCTAAGATGATACACAAAATGTTCTAGAACTTACGTCCAGTTCCTTGCGGACCCCGATGCGGTGCTGCCAGAGAAAGCGGAGGATGAAGGTGTAGCTGACCAGGATGACGGAGAGCGGCACCACGTACGTGACCAGCACCACCATGACCGTCATGGCCTTCTCCCACCCCAGGGACCACGTCCTCATACACACCGTCTGCGAGTTCTTGAGTTCCAGGCCAAACACCATCAGGTACGGGGAACAGGCGGCACCAGACGCTGAAATGGGGAAACACCATCAGGACATAGTGCAGGACATAGCGAAACACCAACAGGACATAGTGAAACACCATCAGCACATAGAGAAACACCATCAGATAGGGGGAACAGGCGGCACCAGACGCTGAAATGGGGAAACACCATCAGGACATAGTGTAGGACATAGTGAAACACCATTAGGTAGGGGGAACACGCGGCACCAGACGCTGAAATGGGGAAACACCATCAGGACATAGTGAAACACCATCAGCACATAGTGAAACACCATTAGGTAGGGGGAACACGCGGCACCAGACGCTGAAATGGGGAAACACCATCAGGACATAGTGAAACACCATCAGCACATAGTGTAGGACATAGTGAAACACCATTAGGTAGGGGGAACAGGCGGCACCAGACGCTGAAATGGGGAAACACCATCAGGACATAGTGAAACACCATCAGAACATAGTGCAGGACATAGCGAAACACCATCAGAACATAGTGAAACACCATCAGGACATAGTGAAACACCATCAGGACATAGTGAAACACCATCAGGACACAGTGAAACACCATCAGGACATAGTGTAGGACATAGTGAAACACCATTAGGTAGGGGAAACAGGCGGCACCAGACGCTGAAATGGGGAAACACCATCAGAACATAGTGAAACACCATCAGAACATAGTGAAACACCATCAGGACATAGTGAAACACCATCAGGACATAGTGAAACACCATCAGGACACAGTGAAACACCATCAGGACATAGTGTAGGACATAGTGAAACACCATTAGGTAGGGGGAACAGGCGGCACCAGACGCTGAAATGGGGAAACACCATCAGAACATAGTGAAACACCATCAGCACATAGAGAAACACCATCAGGTAGGGGGAACACGCGGCACCAGACGCTGAAATAGTGAAACACCATCAGAACATAGTGAAACACCATCAGGACATAGTGTAGGACATAGTGAAACACCATTAGGTAGGGGGAACACGCGGCACCAGACGCTGAAATGGGGAAACACCATCAGAACATAGTGAAACACTATCAGCACATAGAGAAACACCATCAGGTAGGGGGAACACGCGGCACCAGACGCTGAAATAGTGAAACACCATCAGAACATAGTGAAACACCATCAGGACATAGTGAAACACCATCAGGACATAGTGAAACACCATCAGGACATAGTGAAACACCATCAGGGCATAGTGAAACACCATCAGGACATAGTGAAACACCATCAGGACATAGAGAAACACCATCAGGACTGCAACATTTTCTATACACACCTCATACACACAACACATTTTTGTCTTGTAGTGGTAAGATGGGCAGTATCAAAACTTTCCCCCACAACCCACACACACTCGCATTCTGTCTTAACGATGACGTGCTAGTACTCAGCTCGCTAAGGGTTTTCACATCTCTCCAATTCACCACGGAATGGTCTCACGGAGGTTCGCTAAGGGTTTTCACATCTCTCCAATTCACCACGGAATGGTGTTACCTAGGTTAGAATGTCGTAGGTTGGAGATGATTTAGATGAAAGATTCGTCGATATAAGACTCACTCTTGTCTGAAGAGATAATTCGATTAGCTACACTAACTTTATCTATGTGATAAGAGATTTATTCACATGGCGGAGTGATAGGATTCAAATGATTATTCTGTTAACCCGACCCCTGCCCCAGCCCGACCCCCCCTCCCCACCCCCAGACAATGAATCGAGTGGTTTGACAAGAGGACAGTCCATGTCTTCAAGAAATCAAATTAGATCAGAGAAGAGAAAATCAATCACGCCGAGAGATCGATTTTCTGTAATGGCGTTCGTGGACACGGCAAAACAAACTAGAAATTATGCGGGGGGGGGCAGTAAACAATCTGTATGTCAACATACTGACGTCAATTATATTAGCGTGCATGACGTCATAGGGAAAATGTGAAGGCATTATTTTAACGCGTACATCATGTTCTTGGCTAAACAAAGATGCGTTTAGCGGCCAAATATTCGTGTAGTTAGTGGCCAAATACAGGTGTGGCTAGTGGCTAAATATGATTGTAGGAAAAAAAGTCACAGGAAAAAAAGTCATGGGAAAAAAAGACACAAATATATATTTGCATGGAACGTGTTAATACTTTTATGTATTAAATATTCAGAAAGTGCAAATCAACTTAGATTAATTAAATATAATGAAATGTGCGTATGTTGAATATTGATATTAGTGATATTTATAACACACGTAGTGTGTAGTATTTACATTTCAATTCCTTTATACATATAATATTTAATATAATTTAATAAAATGGTTCAACGTTCTCTTTTTTTATAGTATTTGTTAAATACTAACTTTAAATTAGCGCGAAAAGGCATAAAGACGTAGTTAATGTGACTTGCAGCCCTCAACTCATTGCGGCAATAGGTCAACCACCTGTACTTCCCACATTTATCACACGCATTACTTAACAAAGGAAAGGATCAAAGCAGAAACCCGACACGGGCTGTCATTGACGCAAAACGTCAACAACACACAATATGGACGGACAAGGCCGACTGAGGAGAGGCCGACCAGGGAATGGAAAAAAAAAAAGAACATGCAAAACACAATGATGTGCCTAAATTTCGTTTATATTTAACATTTCTACAGCATATTTATCTAAATTCATTAATTAATTATAAAAGTTGTTGCTTCTGTGTAAATTAGGTTACATTATTTTTACTTATTAGTGTTATTAACCATAATGCCTGTATCGTTTATAAATATGCTGCAAAAACCCACACATCAATAAATACCCACAATTTTCACAATTCTCAACAATTAAAATCAAAACATTTATGAAAAGATTTTTGGGACATGTTTTCTGTGATTTTATTTCTGCGACTTTTTTTCCGAAAAAAAATTTCCTTAGTGACTTTTTTCCTGTGACTTTTTTTCCGTTCACCGCCAAATATAGTTGTGGTTAGTGGCCAAATATTGGGGTGTGGGGAAATTGCGAGACGCGAAAAGCGAAATGGCGAGGCGGGAAAATGCGAGAAGGGCGCGAAAACGGTAGGTCACGTGACTTTTTGTCTCGCATTTTACCACAAGCCGATACTTACGCTGGGTGGTGTTGAAATGCGAAGATTTCTGCGAAAAATTTACCGCACCCGATTTTCAGTGGTATTTGGTCCAGACTTCAAAGACGTTTCGTTTACATTGTTAAAACTTCCGATTTTTCCGTCGCTAGACATACTGATGATTTGTCAACTCCCCCCATCTTTTGTGTCGACTTAGAATACCACCTTGTTCGAAACCGACGGAAATACCGACGACGATAGATCAACTTCTTTCTTTTGTGTGGAACGCCGAGGCCGCCTGATTTACCGTCTTTGAAGATCGCCGTGCCCGGATCCGCTGCCGCCGCAAACATATTTTCTATTGTTGCATAGAAATTTTGTATTATAGCCGCCGCCTACGATTTTTTTCTAGCTTTTTTACCATATAAATCTAAGCACAAGGAAATGCCTACATCATTTGGATACAACTATTCTGGAGGTAAGAACTACTACTGTGTGTTTTCTCTTCCAATGTTCCTTTACACTAATTTATATTAGATTTTATATCACGGTTGTGCCAAAATTACAGAAATGATAAAAAATCCAAATTATAAAAAACGGAAAACAGATGTTGAGCGTGCGGATGATGATGATGAGAACATGGGTGCCAGTGTTGTTTGTGGGATGAACGAGGAGGTCAACTGTGATGAGAATGTGAAATGTTGTGAATGTGGATTGGAAGAAGTAGCAAAAGAAAAATGTATAAATGGGTCACGATGTGTGTTTGAGGACTGTTTCAGAAGATTTTGTTTGTAAATTTTGTTTGTAGTTAAAATTACTTAATAAAAAAATAAATTGCACTTTTTAGAATTGTTTATACTTTTACACTTTTTGCAAGTACAAAAATCCATAAATAGATGTTGCAAAATATCTCTCCTGCTGACAAGATTATACCAATTCACAATGACACAGCTCACGTTTGTATAAACATGAGCGGGCTAGATTTTTAAATTAATGCCGACTGAGACGGGATTTTCCTCTCGCTAACAAGAGCGGGCGATGACAGTAGCACAGCAACGATGTTAGGATTTTTAAATAGATAGATCTAGATATAGATCTATCTTCTTAGTATCTAGATAAAAAATAACAACATACAACACTCGTGTTAAAGGGTATGGTTAAATGCTTGTTTATTTTAAAACAAAAACAAAAATAATTTAAATAAATAAAGATGGACAAAAAAAACAAAAAAAAACTTTTTTCGCAAAAAGTGTCTCGCTATTTACCCTTAATTCCGCAGGTATGTCTCGCATTACCTTCTCGCATTTTCCCGCCTCGCCATTTCGCTTTTCGCGTCTCGCAATTTCCCCACACCCCAAATATTGGTGTGTTCGCTGGTTATACTAAAGTGTGTTCGGTGTCTGTATTAAACATGTAGCCACAAGGCCGATACAGAAGCAGCCGATACAGAGTCAGGAGTTAAATGTCAGGTAGTGGGCGTGGCATGGACTTTCAAGATCTTCAGTGATGGCAGTGCTAGACAAAACAACATGACGTCACCAACACACAGACGAGACCAGATGACGTCACTCACCTAACCAGATGGCTATACAAATGATGGCCGCTCCCCGGGGGGTTCGACTGTGGAGTGACCGAATGGGATGGACGATGGCAAAATATCGGTCGATGGTCATGGCGGTCAGCGTAAGGCAGGTGGACAGCAAGGACACCTGGAAGGTCAGAGGTCACCACAAGTTAGCTGGGCGTGTGGATAGGGAGGGACGAATATACATGCACGTTTATAGTATATATATATATATATATATATATATATATATATATATATATATATATATATATATATATATATATATATATATATATATATATATAATATATATATATATATATATATATATATATATATATATATATGCGTAGTTTATAAATAAAAATATAATATGTAAATATATTGCACATGAATATAATACTAGAGTCGAACTTACATAGGCGATATAGTTCTGAAACTTGCACATGATTTCGCCATAGACCCAGTTATAAGACACGTAATGAGCGATGGTTATAGGGACTGTTATTGACAGGAAGGCGAGGTCAGCTAGGGCCACGTTGATGATGTAACAGTTGGTGGTGGACCTGGGGACATACATATGTTAGGCTGTAAGGATGTAAGGATGTAAGGATGTAAGGATGTAAAGGTGGAAGGGTGTAAGGATGTAACCCTAACCCCAGGCTATACTTGCTAATGTTTGTGCTTATCTGTGATACTTGATATATGTATCAAACGTCTTTAAGTTTTGAAGTTCTCTCATACTTTTAGATTCCCTTTTTTTTTTTTACTTCTGTCGCCCCAATGTCGTGCTACCTGAGACTGGTATGATGTTGTAGTTGTTATGATGAAACTGACTAAATGTCGACATCATTTGAGGTCATAACGGAACTGACTAAATGTCGACATCATTTGAGGTCATAACGGAACTGACTAATTGTTCACACCATTTGAGGTAATAACGGAACTGACTAAATGTTGACATTACCAGAGGTCATGAGTATAATTATACCATTCTATTTTAAACCCCACGTTCTATACTAATGTCCATTGAAAGTTCACAAATACAGACGTTATGTTGTACTTTATAATTTGCTGAGTCTAAATAATTTGCTAAACGGCAAGATATGACCCCCCCCCCCTCCCCCTCCCTCTCATGGTGCCAACATGCCTCAGTGGAGTTTGTTGATTCTCTTCTACAAGATCTCCACCACAGAACTAAATGAATGGAAGACAAGACCTCCACCACAGAACTAAATAAATGGAAGAGTTTGATTCTAGCGACATCCCCACCACTCGCATCAGCAACAAAAACTGGCTCGCCATATCTTCTAAATCAGACAGTTTAAATAAATGGTATAGCCAGACGAAATCAATTCATTAGCATAATTCATTAATTTAAAAAAACCAGGGGAAAACAATACGTTTATATTTGTTAATTACCCTATTTTAAATGCATTCGTTATCAAACATTAGGGCATAATTAAATATTTTAAATTCGTTGACAGTCGAGCATTAGCATTAAGGTATAATTAAATATTTGAGATGCACGATGAATGAAGATTAAAATAAGGTTAACATTGTCTGTCAACACACATCTTTCACCTCTCTGTCACTGACAACCTTATTGTGTCGCTGACATTATGTCAATGACAACATTATTGTGTTAATGACACCTTCTTGTGTCACTGACATCATTATTCTATCACTTGACTAATGCCATCTGTCAGTAGTCCCATGTTTGCCTGATATGACTGATGACGTAAGAGCTGATTATTAGTTTGATCAACTCCGGCTAATTAATTCGTCTGTCGGCTTTAGTTTCAACTTTTGTAAGAGAAGAACAAATATCCGTTCTCTAGAACTGAGAATTTTCAAATGTCATTAGATAATCAATTTTAAACGTCATCAGATAATTAGAAGGAAATCAATTTGCGATGCGGACCTTAAGACGGCGTGTCTGTTCACCGTTTATTTTCAATCAAGGTGAGCAGGTTAAGCTGGATACAACTTGTATAAGTCACAGGTATCGAAATATGTAAAAATTATAAACTAGTTTTACACTTGAAGATATAGTGTGTGTGTGTGTGTATCATACATGCACTTGTGTGTATTAAACATGAGTTTGTCTCACTAACAGACACACTGAGAGACACACTGACCGACACACTGAGAGAAACACTGACCGACACACTGAGAGACACACTGACCGACACACTGAGAGACACACTGACCGACACACTGAGAGACACACAGACACACCGAAAAAGACACCAACAGACACACAGAGAGACACACTGACAGACACACTGAGAGAAACACTGAGAGAAACACAGAGAAACAAAGAGACACACAAACCGACACACAGAGACACACACACACACACAGAGATACACACAGAGACACCCACCTGGGCATTGAGCGGCCGCCATGAGAGCACATGGTGAAGACGACGATGATGTTGCCGACAGCGCCGATGAAGATGATCAGCCCCCACACCACGGGGATGATGATCTTGTAGGCGAAGGTGCTGTGGGATGGAAGGTTGGATGTATACAACATTTAGCACAGAAAATTGTATCCTGATGTGGGGTGGAAGGTTGGGTCAAATTATGATGTATACAACATTAGCACACATTGGAATAATGGAACTAATTAATTAAACATAAACATACAGGAGTATAGCCATAGACACTTATTGAATACAGCTATTGAATGGTATCGATGACTGTTGTATGACGTGTTATTCATCCTATGATTGGTCCAGCAGGTCGAAGGTCCAAAAAGCCAAAGGTCGGAGGTCAAGGCCACACGACACGGGGAGTGAGCTTGGCTGAGATTGTAATGACGTCATCGTATACCTGCCAGCGGTCTGAAAATGGCTCTCGAGCCAGAAGTACATCCCCCACACTGAAGTACATCCCCCACACTGAAGTACATCCCCCACACTGAAGTACATCCCCCACACTGAAGTACATCCCCCACACTGAAGTACATCCCCCACACTGAAGTACATCCCCCACACTGAAGTACATCCCCCACACTGAAGTACATCCCCCACACTGAAGTACATTCCCCACACTGAAGTACATCCCCCACACTGAAGTACATCCCCCACACTGAAGTACATCCCCCACACTGAAGTACATCCCCTACACTGAAGTACATCCCCCACACTGAAGTACTACAGCACCAAAATTGTAATGTCCCCATAGATCAGTTAAAGTCCCCCATAGATCAGTTAATGTCCCCCATAGATCACTAATGTCCCCCATAGATCACTAATGTCCCCCATAGATCAGTTAATGTCCCCCATAGATCACTAATGTCCCCCATAGATCAGTTAATGTCCCCCATAGATCAGTTAAAGTCCCCCATAGATCAGTTAATGTCCCCCATAGATCACTAATGTCCCCCATAGATCAGTTAAAGTCCCCCATAGATCACTAATGTCCCCCATAGATCAGTTAATGTCCCCCATAGATCACTAATGTCCCCCATAGATCAGTTAATGTCCCCCATAGATCACTAATGTCCCCCATAGATCAGTTAATGTCCCCCATAGATCACTAATGTCCCCCATAGATCATTAATGTCCCCCATAGATCAGTTAATGTCCCCCATAGATCAGTTAATGTCCCCCATAGATCACTAATGTCCCCCATAGATCACTAATGTCCCCCATAGATCAGTTAGTCCACCATACATCAGTTAATGTCCCCCATAGATCAGTTAATGTCCCCCATAGATCACTAATGTCCCCCATAGATCACTAATGTCCCCCATAGATCAGTTAATGTCCCCCATAGATCACTAATGTCCCCCATAGATCACTAATGTCCCCCATAGATCACTAATGTCCCCCATAGATCAGATAGTCCCCCATACATTAGTTAAAGTCCCCCATAGATCACTAATGTCCCCCATAGATCAGTTAATGTCCCCCATAGATCAGTTAAAGTCCCCCATAGATCAGTTAATGTCCCCCATAGATCACTAATGTCCCCCATAGATCAGTTAAAGTCCCCCATAGATCACTAATGTCCCCCATAGATCAGTTAATGTCCCCCATAGATCACTAATGTCCCCCATAGATCAGTTAATGTCCCCCATAGATCACTAATGTCCCCCATAGATCAGTTAATGTCCCCCATAAATCACTAATGTCCCCCATAGATCACTAATGTCCCCCATAGATCAGTTAATGTCCCCCATAGATCAGTTAATGTCCCCCATAGATCACTAATGTCCCCCATAGATCAGTTAGTCCACCATACATCAGTTAATGTCCCCCATAGATCAGTTAATGTCCCCCATAGATCACTAATGTCCCCCATAGATCACTAATGTCCCCCATAGATCAGTTAATGTCCCCCATAGATCACTAATGTCCCCCATAGATCACTAATGTCCCCCATAGATCACTAATGTCCCCCATAGATCAGATAGTCCCCCATACATTAGTTAAAGTCCCCCATAGATCACTAATGTCCCCCATAGATCAGTTAATGTCCCCCATAGATCAGTTAAAGTCCCCCATAGATCAGTTAATGTCCCCCATAGATCACTAATGTCCCCCATAGATCAGTTAAAGTCCCCCATAGATCACTAATGTCCCCCATAGATCAGTTAATGTCCCCCATAGATCACTAATGTCCCCCATAGATCAGTTAATGTCCCCCATAGATCACTAATGTCCCCCATAGATCAGTTAATGTCCCCCATAGATCACTAATGTCCCCCATAGATCACTAATGTCCCCCATAGATCAGTTAATGTCCCCCATAGATCAGTTAATGTCCCCCATAGATCACTAATGTCCCCCATAGATCACTAATTTCCCCCATAGATCAGTTAGTCCCCCATACATCAGTTAATGTCCCCCATAGATCAGTTAATGTCCCCCATAGATCACTAATGTCCCCCATAGATCACTAATGTCCCCCATAGATCAGTTAATGTCCCCCATAGATCACTAATGTCCCCCATAGATCACTAATGTCCCCCATAGATCATTAATGTCCCCCATACATCAGTTAAAGTCCCCCATAGATCACTAATGTCCCCCATAGATCAGTTAATGTCCCCCATAGATCACTAATGTCCCCCATAGATCACTAATGTCCCCCATAGATCAGTTAATGTCCCCCATAGATCAGTTAATGTCCCCCATAGATCAGTTAATGTCCCCCATAGATCAGTTAATGTCCCCCATAGATCAGTTAATGTCCCCCATAGATCAGTTAATGTCCCCCATAGATCACTAATGTCCCCCATAGATCAGTTAAAGTCCCCCATAGATCAGTTAATGTCCCCCATAGATCACTAATGTCCCCCATAGATCAGTTAATGTCCCCCATAGATCACTAATGCCCCCCATAGATCACTAATGTCCCCCATAGATCAGTTAATGTCCCCCATAGATCACTAATGTCCCCCATAGATCACTAATGTCCCCCATAGATCAGTTAATGTCCCCCATAGATCAGTTAATGTCCCCCATAGATCAGTTAAAGTCCCCCATAGATCAGTTAATGTCCCCCATAGATCACTAATGTCCCCCATAGATCAGTTAATGTCCCCCATAGATCACTAATGTCCCCCATAGATCACTAATGTCCCCCATAGATCACTAATGTCCCCCATAGATCACTAATGTCCCCCATAGATCACTAATGTCCCCCATAGATCAGTTAATGTCCCCCATAGATCAGTTAAAGTCCCCCATAGATCACTAATGTCCCCCATAGATCAGTTAATGTCCCCCATAGATCACTAATGTCCCCCATAGATCAGTTAATGTCCCCCATAGATCAGTTAATGTCCCCCATAGATCAGTTAATGTCCCCCATACATCAGTTAATGTCCCCCATAGATCACTAATGTCCCCCATAGATCAGTTAATGTCCCCCATAGATCACTAATGTCCCCCATAGATCAGTTAATGTCCCCCATAGATCAGTTAATGTCCCCCATAGATCACTAATGTCCCCCATAGATCAGTTAATGTCCCCCATAGATCACTAATGTCCCCCATAGATCACTAATGTCCCCCATAGATCACTAATGTCCCCCATAGATCAGTTAATTTCCCCCATAGATCAGTTAAAGTCCCCCATAGATCACTAATGTCCCCCATAGATCAGTTAATGTCCCCCATAGATCACTAATGTCCCCCATAGATCAGTTAATGTCCCCCATAGATCAGTTAATGTCCCCCATAGATCAGTTAATGTCCCCCATAGATCAGTTAATGTCCCCCATAGATCAGTTAATGTCCCCCATAGATCAGTTAATGTCCCCCATAGATCAGTTAAGGTCCCCCATAGATCAGTTAATGTCCCCCATAGATCAGTTAATGTCCCCATAGATCTGCCAACCTGACGGTTTGAACTGGCTAAAGGCGTCTCCTGAACCCTTACCTTCACTCTCTTAACATTAAACTTACGTGCTTGATAATTAAGACGCTAATTAGGTTTTCATGAATGATGCCAGCTACGTAGATTTACGGAGGTAAGTAAATGTTTTTTTTAAATTAATGGCGACACCCAACATCTGTTTCAATTGTAGCCGAGGTCATTTTTTTTTAGTTTTTTTTTTTTACGGAAACATTTTTACTACCTTCTGCAGATAAATATGTGAGGTCATCTTCAGTGTTTAAAACACAATATATTGCGGCTGTAGTGACGTCATCTTGAGTGTCTGACAGAATACATTGTGGCCCATAGTGACGTCATCTTCACTTGTTTAGCACGAACATCTACCACTTATCTGTGAAGTGTTGGGCTCCACTTTCACTTCACCCATCACCCCATCGACACTCCCCCCCCCCCCCCCACCGTCACCCCACCCCCTTCTGTAGATGAGGCTATAACCATCTCGCTGATCTGAAGAATATATCGCTCTATTTATTCAGCGACGTCTCGAAGAGAAATATTGCTTGTTGATGATTGGGGTAGACTAAGGGAAATAATTGGACAGACAGGGGAAGTTATCGGACGTTCCCGTTTCCTTGTCAACGGCGTCTCAAGCAGCCAGCATCATTTAGGGGAAAACTAAATTATTAATTGTATATTTGCCGCGGGGTGCTGGCATTGTAAGGTATCAACATTAGCTCTACGTCAACACTGACAGGCACCAGTATGGTAGAGTTAATTACCACGGTACGGCTGTGGGTGGAGGGGGGTGTAAGGTGGGGGGGGGTAGCTCTCATTTTAGGAATATTTGGATAATATACCCCCATAGCGTGACGTAATTCGGTTTGTTCATTTAGAACTAATTAACGAATTCAGTAGAGACAGGTCATTGTAGCTACAATATTGCTAGTCTGATATTCTCTGTATGGTTGTAATTTTTAGATTTTGTGATCCTTAGATTCTTTGTATGATTGCAATTCTTAGATTTTGTGATCCTTAGATTCTCTTTATGACTGCAATCCTTAGATTTTGTGTATGTAATCCTTGTGTCACAGCAGACAATCAATATTTTGTATAATTATTGTCCGTTATCTCCAATGTAAATTTAATTATAGAGCTGCAAATCTAGAAGACAAGACTGCATGATATGATGCACAGAAGGTTAACGACATTATAACACCCTGATGATTAAGTAATGAGATCTAATTAGGATAATTTATGCAAACAAATAACATCTATGTACGTAATGAAAGGCTTACATCAAGATGTCTGTGATGTATCATTAAAAAAATTGTGTAGGAACGTTCAGAGTTCAGGGGTCAAAACAACACAGGGTGGACAGACAGATTGTACAAAAAACATTGTACACTTAGATTGTACGGGGAATATTGTACATGTTACATTGTACACAATAGATTGTACACAATAGATTGTACGCAATCAATTGTACGTGAGTACATTGTGTTGTTCGTTGCATGCGTACGTGTGTACATAAGACTACGTAGATCGCGTACACATTGATGTACACACAGTGTACGGGCAGGTCAAGTGGAGAGGACAGTTGACATGACAGGACAAGAGGTCAAGGTCACACGTTCTTACTTGTAGGTCTCATGGGAGGAGTTGTAGCTGGCGCTGCTGTTGGGGGTCAAGGTCAGGTCCGCCGCGTGAGTGGTGCTCACGGTCAAAAGTTCCATGCTGATGTACTGGGGGTCATCCATACCTGGGGACAGAAGACAGACACGGGGTCAAGGTCACACTTGAGTGGGTCAAGGTCACACATCAGTTGGGTCAGGGCCACGCATGAGTGGGGTCAAGGTCAAGCTTAAAATTGAGTGATTATCAAACTTAACATTTAGTAATGGCCAGCCTTGACATTAGGTCAAGGTTAAACCTAACTATATCATCTGGAATGCTGGGAACAGAGATCATGTGTTCGACTCTATCACCCGGCATGTTTTGTGTTAGGTGCGGCGTGGTCGGACGGAAGAGCGAAAATCTCGAGTTCGAATCCGTGCTCGCGCCTGTTGAACGTCCCTGAGTCAGCTCAGCTCTGATGGGTACCTGACTCACTGAGTTCACTCAGCTCTGATGGGTACCTGACTCACGTTAGGGAAAGTAAAGGCGGTGGAGTATATTTTGACCACACTACCCCTTGGTATGAATAGACCTGAGAACCAGATGTCCTACACAGGACGTTGACCTCACCCCCTTATTCTCAGCGAATGTTTTGGTTTGTAAACTTGATGACGTAGTTTGTTTATGGCCGCAGGGCAGGTAACTCGAGCTCCACAAGGTCGCTGAAAACTGAGAGACCACGTGTCTACAGCAGACGACAGTTAGGTAGTCGATACAAGTTTGATGTTGTCAACATGAAATTTTAGTGCTAACAATAGACGTAATATGTCACATAAAGAAATAAAAAAATATGACAATTTTGACAATTGTCACTCTAGTTACTCTGAAATCACCGTTGGAAAATGTTTTGATCGCCGTGACAAAAAAAAAAGATATTAAAAAAACGTCATATTTGGAGTTTTTATTAAAAACAAAATTGTATGTTGGATTTGAAAGTTTGCGCGGTGGTGACGTCATTGTAGGGTGACCTCGTCAGGTAAATGGTGGCCTCAGTCTGAGATAGCAGAATGGCCAGAGTAGGTTGGCCAGAGTAGGATGGCCAGAGTAGGATGGCCAGAGTAGGATGGCCAGAGTAGGTTGGCCAGAGTAGGATGGCCAGAGTAGGATGGCCAGAGTAGGTTGGCCAGAGTAGGTTGGCCAGAGTAGGATGGCCAGAGTAGGTTGGCCAGAGTAGGATGGCCAGAGTAGGTTGGCCAGAGTAGGATGGCCAGAGTAGGTTGGCCAGAGTAGGATGGCCAAAGTAGGTTGGCCAGAGTAGGATGGCCAGAATAGGATGGCAAGATATAACCATGGGCCAGTTGTATTGACGTAGATTGCAGCAGCTGAATCGTCGTCATATCATGCATGTGACGTCAAATAGAAAGTTGTCGTCATTGTCTACAGATCAACTAGGAAGTTATAGATAACCTGGTCTTCACTAGATAATTTCTCTGCCAAAACCAACATTTCTAATCTCTATCGGATGGCGTGGCTGTCGATAGCATCATCTCACCACTTCCTGCTCGTCTGCTGAGGGAATCTTATTTGCGCGGGAACTTTTGGCGGGATAAGCTTACGTGGTGTGGGTCTGCGATAGTTTCGTATGCCAGTCTCAAGGGATCTGTAAGCTAATCAATTTCTGCCCAAACAACCAGCCATAAGTTTACAACCACAACTAACTTATGGCTAGAAATGATGTTTGTGTCATCTAAAAGTGGGTTCGGTTGCATAAATTTCTGGGTATGACTTTTAAAAAAAATTGAGGTTTGTTTCATAAAATTAGTTGGGTGAATTCCAGTTTTTGAGTTATAAGAAGTTGGAACATGGGCGTTTCTAAAGTGGTAAGCATGATGGTTTATGAGGTGGTATTAGTGGAATGTTTACGGGGTAGAGAGTGGGTGGTTTATGGGTGGGAAGTGGGTGGTTTATGGGTGGAAAGTGGGTGGTTTATGGGTGGGAAGTGGGCGGGTTATGAGCGTCAAACAAATGGACAACTCATCACAAACTTTGCATTCAGTGCAAGCTTGTTGGATTGTTTACTAATTAACTAAACTCAAGTCTATAGTCACATAACCACACATTTATTACAACCACATAACCAACCATCTACAACAACCACACAGCCACACAACGAAACAGCCACAATTCACAAACACACCAATCACAACCATCACACAATCACACCAAGCCAACAACACTCTGTTTACAAGAACCCCAAAATCTCCAGAAAATAAAAACCACCAACTCAATTGAAATCTTCGCACTATCCCCCCTCCCTCCCCTCCCCTCACCCCCATCCCCTACCCTAAATCTTCTATCTGTGATGGAGAACGGACATTAGGCGTGAGGATTTTGTTAACTAATTCTTGCGTCACTCACAGAAGCTGAGTACCTCACACACAGGAGCTGAGTACCTCACACACAGGAGCTGAGTACCTCACACATAGGAGCTGGGCTGAGTACCTCACACACAGGAGCTGAGTACCTCACACACAGGAGCTGAGTACCTCACACACAGGAGCTGAGTACCTCACACACAGGAGCTGAGTACCTCACACACAGGAGCTGAGTACCTCACACACAGGAGCTGAGTACCTCACACACAGGAGCTGAGTACCTCACACACAGGAGCTGAGTACCTCACACACAGGAGCTGAGTACCTCACACACAGTAGCTGAGTACCTCACACACAGTAGCTGAGTACCTCACACACAGGAGCTGAGTACCTCACACACAGGAGCTGAGTACCTCACACACAGGAGCTGGGCTGAGTACCTCACACACAGGAGCTGAGTACCTCACACACAGGAGCTGAGTACCTCACACACAGGAGCTGGGCTGAGTACCTCACACACAGGAGCTGAGTACCTCACACACAGGAGCTGGGCTGAGTACCTCACACACAGGAGCTGAGTACCTCACACACAGGAGCTGAGTACCTCACACACAGGAGCTGAGTACCTCACACACAAGAGCTGAGTACCTCACAAACAGTAGCTGAGTACCTCACACACAGGAGCTGAGTACCTCACACACAGGAGCTGAGTACCTCACAAACAGTAGCTGAGTACCTCACAAACAGTAGCTGAGTACCTCACAAACAGTAGCTGAGTACCTCACACACAGGAGCTGAGTACCTCACAAACAGGAGCTGAGTACCTCACACACAGGAGCTGAGTACCTCACACACAGGAGCTGAGTACCTCACACACAGGAGCTGAGTACCTCACACACAGGAGCTGAGTACCTCACACAGGAGCTGAGTACCTCACACACAGGAGCTGAGTACCTCACACACAGGAGCTGAGTACCTCACACACAGGAGCTGAGTACCTCACAAACAGGAGCTGAGTACCTCACAAACAGTAGCTGAGTACCTCACAAACAGGAGCTGAGTACCTCACACACAGGAGCTGAGTACCTCACACACAGGAGCTGAGTACCTCACAAACAGTAGCTGAGTACCTCACAAACAGGAGCTGAGTACCTCACAAACAGTAGCTGAGTACCTCACAAACAGGAGCTGAGTACCTCACACACAGGAGCTGAGTACCTCACAAACAGTAGCTGAGTACCTCACAAACAGGAGCTGAGTACCTCACACACAGGAGCTGAGTACCTCACAAACAGTAGCTGAGTACCTCACAAACAGGAGCTGAGTACCTCACAAACAGGAGCTGAGTACCTCACACACAGGAGCTGAGTACCTCACACACAGGAGCTGAGTACCTCACAAACAGTAGCTGAGTACCTCACAAACAGGAGCTGAGTACCTCACAAACAGTAGCTGAGTACCTCACAAACAGGAGCTGAGTACCTCACACACAGGAGCTGAGTACCTCACACACAGTAGCTGAGTACCTCACACACAGGAGCTGAGTACCTCACACACAGGAGCTGAGTACCTCACACACAGGAGCTGAGTACCTCACACACAAGAGCTGAGTACCTCACACACAGGAGCTGAGTACCTCACACACAAGAGCTGAGTACCTCACACACAGGAGCCGGGCTGAGTACCTCACACACAGGAGCCGGGCTGAGTACCTCACACACAGGAGCCGGGCTGAGTACCTCACACACAGGAGCCGGGCTGAGTACCTCACACATAGAGGGGTGGGTCGTGTGGTGGGGGTGGGGGGTGGGGTAAACGTTTCAATCGGAGCTTAATTGTTGCGGCAGAGCTAAGAAAATAGAATGTTCTAGACAGTTGTTTCACAAAGATAAAACAGGACTAGGACTAACTAAGGCCAACCAACATGCTTGAGCCGACAAGTTGCAGAACAAAATTCTACAGAGACATGTCCCAGTTAATGGACGTGAGATTTGTGTGTTTGTCAGGGATTAAAAGGCCATCTCAATGTAGTGTAATCTGTTGAAGGCAGGTCGGGTAAATATTAACAGTACATTCATCATTATACGAGGCTGCACTTGTGTGCTATTTATAGTCGGTCTCGTTAGGTAACGTGAATCCCGTGAGAGATTTATTTTTTCTGTTAGAACAAACACAGCCAATTACAAGAGTGTCATTGTGTTTCTAGAATCTTCGGTGACATTAGAAAGTTAGGTAACATGCTAAATACTTTATCCCATTGTGTTTTATCAGAGGCAGAAGTCTAGTATCGAACTCTTAAATTCACCAACCTTTGCCTACATTACCCAGATCCACAAACCTTTGCCTACATTACCAGATCCACCAACCTTTGCCTACATTACTGGACCCTTAAATTCACCAACCTTTGCCTACATTACCAGATCCACCAACCTTTGCCTACATTACCAGATCCACCAACCTTTGCCTACATTACTGGACCCTTAAATTCACCAACCTTTGCCTACATTACCAGATCCACCAACCTTTGCCTACATTACCAGATCCACCAACCTTTGCCTACATTACTGGACCCTTAATTCACCAACCTTTGCCTACATTACCAGACCCACCGACCTTTGCCTACATTACCAGATCCACCAACCTTTGCCTACATTACTGGACCCTTAAATTCACCAACCATCGCCTATATTACCAGATCCACCAACCTTTGCCTACATTACTGGACCCTTAAATTCACCAACCTTTGCCTACATTACCAGATCCACCAACC